AAATGGGATGATGTACAATAGTGTAAGAGTAGACGTCTTCCAGATTCTTCCACTGTCGTAGTCAGAAATCTGATTCTTTTAAGAGGAATATGTACTTGAGAAATCTAAAGTTGATAAAGATTCTGGACACGTTCTCCACAGAGAAATGTCAAACAATTTTTCAAGCAAAGATGATAAATGTTGACTTTAAGTCATGGATAAGATGGCTCATTACAAATTAGGCTCATTACAAATCAAGCAATATTATTATTTTTTACAATTTAATGGAAAAATGACTGATTTTTGTATTTTCCTCTTGTTCATTTTTATTGTTCACAGTATTGGAAAAATTAAGATAACATTTATTCTTCTTTTTGTAACGTTTTTATGATGGAACGAGACTTCTACCTTGGATATAAAGATCTCTCTTTATTTACTATTTACCTAGATTAGAGCAGTTGTGTTAACTCAATAAGTTTTACCATAGTCAAGTTATTTGAAATTGATTTTGCAAAAATGATTGATGACGGGTTAAACTGATTCTGCAAAAATGGTCGTAGACAGATTGAACTGATTATGCAAAAATGGTCGAAGACTAATTCTACAAAAATGGTCGAGGACGGTTGAACTAATTATGTAAAAATGGTCGAGGACTGATTCAACTGATTCTGCAAAAATGGTCGAATACGGGTTTAACTAATTCTGCAAAAATGGTCGAGACAGGTTAAATTGATTCTGCAAAAATGGTCAAAAATGGGTTAAACTGATTCTGCAAAGATGCTCGATGATGAGTTTGGATTGATTCAGCAAAGATGATCGAGGATGGGTTGAACTGATTCTGCAAAGATGGTCAAGGACGGATTGAACAAATTCTACAAAGATGATCGATAACGGGTTAAACTGATTCTGCAAAAATGGTCGAGAATGAGTTAAACTGACTTTTGTAATAACGGATACAAACTGATTTTACATATAGTTGTGAGGATGTGTTGAGCTTATGCCACAAATTAATTTTATTAGAGTTGTGAAGATTGGGTTCAATTAATAGCTCTAAAGCTTTAGGGGTATGATTGGTATTTTAAAATATTGTTTCCATGTTTTTGGGTTAGGCTTCAGTTGTATTTATGTTTTTTGTCTTTTTGTGAGATGTTTTAAAATTAGTGGAATTCTTTGAAATATAGTAAAAGTTTTTGTCTCTATATATAAAGTTCTCTTAAAATTTTAGGACAAAAACATTTTTTTTTTTTGAACAAACGATATTATCAACACTAAAGGAGAGTGGGTAGGCTAAGCCTCACAATGGGCTGACAATAATGTGGTTCAAATTCGTCTTTGGCAAAAATTGAACCTAAGACCTCTCACTGACAAGTGAAAAGGAATACCACTAGACCGTAGTACTAAGTGGTAGGACAAAAACTATTAGTTTGGTTTAAAATATATATTCACCCTTTTGTGTATGATCATAAATCTTCACTGCCTAACATTCAAAAGGGTTTGTCTTAATATATGGCTTGATCAATGGGTTGATTTGATTTAGTACTACAGTCTAGTGGTATTCCTCTTTGCTTGTAAGTGAGAGGTATTACAATTGATTCTCACCAAAGGCGAATTTGAACCACATTATCACTAACACATTGTAAGGCCAAGCCCACCCTCTCCCCTTAGTGTAGATAATATCGTTTTTAATATATATATATATCTGGCTTGATCAAGGGGTAATCTTGATTAGGAGATATGTGGGACCATAATTTTTTAGGGCCGGAGTAAGACGGATTGGAATACGAATACCTTTCAGTCATGGACTCAACAACTCTAATGACATTGAGCTGTACAAATGGACCATCGATGCCAACATCATCTTGAGTTCCAAAAAGGCAGGCAAAGTTCACCGATTTCTTTGAGATTGACCATTCTTGGTTCGTTAGATAAGGAAACCTAATCCAATTGGGGATCATATACGTTTCCTATATTCATAGAGATTCCTACAATTTAGGGATTGACGTATGCAGCAAGTAATCACACTCTAAAAGGATGCAATATCTACTTCTAGATATTATCTGGAATTCTCCTGGTTTAATACAGATTCTATATCCTAAAAGGTCTTTCTCAATTAGTATAAATACACTCTTCTAGGGTTTATCTTTGATAACTCAATTATCAGATACTCTATTCTCTTGCTTACTCAAGTCTCATATTGCTCACTTGAATTTGGTATATGCAGTTTGGAGAACACTGCAGGAATGTGTTACAAATTTAATTAGGGTCTGAATTACTTGATTTGCAACCAATGGTTTCTTGCTATCCAATCATTATAAATTAATTTCAGTTTTGTAGCTGTTGCAATTTGAATGGCTTTAGTTTCCGTTTGCAATTCAATGCATTTAAATGATATAGCCGTTTATACTTGAAAGCTGGAGTTTACAATGTTTTAGTTTTCATTTGCAATTCAACGCATTTTTTTCACCGCTGAGAGTGATAAGACATGAGTTTCAAATAGTTTCACCAAGGAGGTTTCCCGCTCAGGTTGCTGCAACTATACTTTAAAGAATATGCTGCCAGAAGAGTTGGGATTCATATCCAAATCTCAAAACTGATAATTGTATTGTATATTTTCAGTTTTGTAAAATTGTTATTGTAGATCAGTTTCCTTGTAACTAATTCATTTAAATCACGTCTATAAATACAATGATAAAAAACTCACTCAGAATTAACTGAGTTGAGCATCGGCAACTCTTTAGCCTTCAAGCTTTTATGCGTGAATGTTTCTCTTTTAGAGAGTTCTCATTGGCACAAATAGTTTTGCCATTACGAGTGCACGTCTAGCAAACCCACTCGGTTGTGGAGCGCATTAACCTTCTGCACTGTCGAACGAACTCTTCTATTACCTTGCTGACTCGTTTGCTGTTACTTTTATTTTGTTTCATTCACAGGAATCATTATTAATTGTAACTTCTTATAAACACTAGATTATCTCGTATATGATTAGAAGTGTGAAGAATTTTGAAGATTAGGATTTATGGGTTGTGCACAGGCTATCAAGACCCAAGTACTCCTTGTACTCAATCTTTTCGACCAAATTTACTTTGCCAGCCCCACCTGTTTAGAAACAAAATTAGCCATGTGATTAACAGAAAATTCATTAAAAAGTGGTTGCATATGTGAACAGGGAGAGAGCACATGAAACGGGGGCGCTAAGGTGGCGGTATTCCAAACCTATTGCACATTATTACATTTTTGAATTGGGCAATCACCATTCTAAAAATCTCTGTCTAGTGCCTAGGCGGTTGGATATCGTCTCAATTAATCATTAGGCTTTTGAAAATTAAGAAAGGATGCGTAGACTCGCCTAGTGTATAACCCACTTAGACACCGCCTTGGTTGTGACTATCATTTAGATAGAAAATAGATAACTTTCATTTTGCATTTTATTTTTTCAATAAATTTTAATAGACTTGTTGAATACTTGGATTAACACTTATTATATGCTTGTTCCCATGTTATCAATATGTTCTACTACTTTATAATCTATATATGATTCTATATTGCAATTTATGTATCCTAGCTAATACAATTATGATTTTTTTAGTATAAATAGACATTTATTATGTTATATAATAAATTTAAAATAAAAAAAAAATAAAAAAAATAAAAAAACTGCCTAGATACTATCCGCCGTCCGATTGGTGCCTAGCGTCTTTTAGAACCTTGGACACCGTCACCTTGGCATCCTGTTTCATGCAAGTCCTTTCAAAAATATATAAGGGCGCATTAACATACCTAATGTCAATAATGAAGATGATCAGGGATGCTCTTCCTACTTCCTTGATAACCTTCCCTACCACATGTGGCCGGTTGCCCTATGAGCGCAGAAATCGTAGTCACAGCAGCGAAATAGAGAGCTGCAAGTTGAAGAATAGTGATGAAAGAAGCCGATATTTACGATTTAGTTGAACACTTGCAGTCATCAATTTATGAACATAACTGGAATGGCTGAAAAATTTACCTTAGGGAATTGGAAATCGCTTTAGGAGGTAGAATTCTACAACAGACGTGGATGACGAGAATAACAAGATGAAGGTGCTTGTTGCACTTCGTACCTGCATTTACATGAAATAAGGAGGATTTGTAAGGTATCTAATAATTTCCAAGAAAACTTCTGATGAAACAGGATAATGTAATTTAATTTGCAGTATGATTAGCAAAAACATTTTTCTTTCAAGGTGATTTAATTAAAATAGAAAATAGAAGCTTGCATCATAACAAGTGGTTAATTACTTGGGAAAGGCTCAAATAGCATTTGTTATTGCAGCAGCGTTTTCAAATAGCAATATTACTGTAACAAGTGATCCCATAATACCGGTATCATCTTCATATGTTGTTGATAACGTCAATATTGTTACTCATTATATTGATAGGAAATAATCCTAAATAGTCTTATATGACATGTAGAAAGTATAAAACTTTTGTCGCTACTGTCGATTTATTGATTTTGCTACGGTAGTAGTTGTGCTACGCTATTTGAGAGCTTTTCCCCAAATTAAATTCAGTTGTTGAGAATGTACCTGAGGAGGATTTCCCATCTCCAAAAAGACAGGACCCATAATAAAACCTCCACCAAGACCAACCAATCCACCAACTAATCCAGCTATTATGCCAAGGGAACAATAACAAACAGGATTCTGCACTCTCCAGTTTGCACCTGCTTCTCCTTTGGATGCAATTACCCTCTGCCCTTCGTGCAGCTTAACTGCCTCATACGAAGTTACTCCAACCGTCACCGGAATATGAACAAAAGAGAGGAAGAAAAAAGTTGCCACTGTGAGGTTCTTATTTCGCAATCCGAGGAAGACTGTTTGTTCAGTACAAGGAGCATGGAAAGGTACCTGTAAGAGATCTAATATCCAATAAGCCATTGAACATTTTGCGACATAATTCTGTTGCCAACAAATAATTTTCCCATCAAGTTTATTTCTTAATCAATGCATATAATTAAGTAAAGGGAAATCGCAAATAAAAAGCTACTAGGTAAAATCCTTGCCAATCTGCAATCCAAGTATTAAGATCCAGACAGTAAAAATAACTCCAAGTTGCTTCCAGTAAACATTACGAAGAACAGAAACCTGGAAAGGTCACAGAAGTAAGTTCCTTAAATTATCCATGCAAAAAAGTTTAGGCTGTTTATTAGTATTAAAAATCTAAACTCTTTTGTTATTGCCTCCTTAATTTCTGGTCTGTTGTTGCCAGCGCCTCCATGAATATTCCTGCCTTCGATGTCTTCACTGGCAATGTCTAATTAACCAGCATGTTAGGCATGCGCAAAGAAACTTCTACCAGGAACTGAAGAAATAGTTGATCAACTTACCTTTCGATTGCTAGTGTTTGGAAACGTCCAGTGATCTCTAAAGAAATGAAACAAGGTGCAGTATTAGATGGATCAAGTAATGCATAATGTACATTCAACATAGACATGAAAAGTTTAAAATACCACCTTTTTCGTTAACAGTTTCTTTTTTCCACATGTCAACACCTTGGAAGAATGATTTAGTTGATGTGCCTGCACAAAGAAGTGAAAAGGTGAGCATTGAGTACTAACATTTTATGAATGAGGAGAATTCCGGTTTAGAAAAGTGTTACCTAAGAGTACAACAATAAGTATGGTGGTGATCATCCATTCAGATAGTACAACATTCAAAGAAACTCCAATGCTGATCTCTAACACCAACATTGGTTGCAACAGAAGTGCGAGAACATAGTCGATGAGGGGCAACTCAAGTGTGGGATGCCTTAGCCTTAAATTGTACAAGACAGTCGCTGCTGCTCCCCCTGTGATCATAACTTACCAACCGAATAGAAACATGTGAAAGTGCATTCAGGTGAGAAGGTAATTTACAAGGCAAATTTTTCATGTATTCAGCTTATGGACTTTTGTAGAGTGCTATGAACTTTTGTAGAGTGCATATGAGTATGAGGCTTCCTTAGAAGGCAAAAGCAGAAAAAGCTGTGATGAAAGTACTTACATTTTGATATAGCTGCTGATGATTTCTGATCAAAGCCGATAATCAGGGTGAGCATCGGAACAAAAAAACCACCCGCTCCAACACCTCCAAAACTACCAACGCTGCCCCAAGGAATCCAATAAATGTACCGACCACGATTTTCCATCCAATCGCATGTCCTGTCACCCAATTTCAATTACTACGAGCACTACGAAATTTTCAGTAAGAACCATGTATCTAGAGTGCCACACTTTCTAAAATCTATTTTTAAAAATTAAAAAACAAAGGTGATTGTTTAATGAAGGAACTGAGGAAGGTAAAAAGTATACATATATGTAGAGGTCAAAATTTTTACACGGCTATCACTCTTCAGAAAATTTTCTCACCAGCCAAACAGTTCAGTTCCATACAATTGAACTAGATTCACAACATTAAGACAACATATCCAACAAGATTAGTGAAAATTGGACTTACAGGCCAGTCATACTTGTAAACCGCTCCACCGGGATGTGAAAGCGATTTGGACGCTCTGATCATGTATTCAGGTTCATCCTTTTCTCCATTATTCCAACTTGAAGATTGTTGCTCAAAACGTTCTTGTGCCGAAACAAATACTGCAGCCACAAAAAGGAAAACAACTTCAATCAACCTCAGCCTCCACCAGTTCGACTTTCTCCAAGCCATCTGATGCTTCTGAACTTCCAACAAATTCCTCCTCAAACCCAAGAATTAAACAGAACAAATATTCTAACGAAAGCTCATTGTTGTTATTTGTTGTTGTTTTATATCTATGTGTATGTGTGTGTGTGTGTACTTTTTATTTTTGTGTATAATCTCTTGGTGAGTGGTGACTTGATTTAGTTTTGTTCCCTTTAAGGAGGAAAGTGGCGGAGCTTTCTATCTATTTTTTTGGGATTCTGGGTGGTGTCTCAATAATGGTTTCAGTGGTAGCTTGACCGGACGGCTCTAATTTGTTTTATTAAATGTGATTATTAGATGGAGATTCAAGAAAAAAGGGGTAGAGAAAAGATCTAGGAAGATTTGGATAAAGACTTAAAAAAGACAGAGTACTTTGAACTAACCAAAAAAAAAATTCTCTTCGTTGGTCCTTGCCTTGGCTTTGGAGTCGGCATCAATCTTTTTTACAAGCATTCTTGGTCTCTTCCCTCTTTCCCTTTCCCTTTACTTTGTTTTGGTGTAGAATTGTCGTCGTAAAACGGTTTAGTCACAATGCTAGTCATCACACTACTAGAAAATATTATTTTGTAGACAAATTGTAAGGCGACAAAGCAAAATTTTATTGGCCCAATAGTCCTCCCCAACAAAATTTTAATTTAACGACTACATACTCTTGCCAAAACCAATTTATGGCTCCAATCTTAGCCGAGAAAATTCTTACGTAGCCGACAATCATTTTGTCTGAGTAAATCACTACAAAAAAAAATGTTTAAGCCGACAAAGTTTAGAGCTTTTCGTCTAAATTTGTAAGTGATCTGGTGTGGTTAAAATTAGACAACGCAAAGTTCGTCGTTAGTGGAATTCCTAGGCGACAATGTTTTGGATCGCGTCGATAGAGTGGAGGTTCAACTTTGGGTTTTGATCGCACAGAAAAGTCCTCTCTCTTTCTCTCGTACACTTGGTTCTTCGCTGTTTTAGTTCTTGTTACTTTATGATGATGATGACTTGGTTAAATACAACATAAATTTTGGAATATGAATTATGAATATATAACTTACTTAAATACAATATAGATTTGGTTTTGGTTTCTTTATCTACTTACTATTTACACTATATAATTTGGTTTTGTTCTAGATTAGCTTCTTGAGGTCACCGTTATTGGTTTTAACAAGTTGAAACAGCCATCGTCTCTTGAATATGATAGAACCAAGCACCGCATTGATAGCGTGTTCCGTGGTTGGGATTGAGGTTTAGTTAATATGCAATAGCATGAATGTCGATGTAAACTTCTGCTGTCTTCAGTCTTGACGAAAATGCACCTGCAAAACAATCAACACCTTTGATCAGAGACCTAAGCCTCACGCGCCCACGAGGTTGGGCGGGGGGGGGGGGGTTAGGTCAATGGATCTCCGATGCCTAAGTTAGTTTCTCTGAGAGAGTAGAGTGTTTAAGGTTTTTTTAGGGTTGCAAAAGCTTTTTCAATTTGGTAAAATATGGGGTATTTATAAGGCTAGGGCCGGCCATATAATGTTTAAGGGAGAGATATTCTCTAAATATTTCCAAGATATTTAATAGGAAATAATATCTTGAGATAATGGGGTAATTATCCCTAATTGATTTAAATTAGGATTACTTACTTGATTGGAGTCAATATTCAATTAGGAATGTAGTAAAGATAGGATTTGGATAATTAATCCTTATCTTCAATTCCTTTCCAAGGGCAAGTGAGCTGTGGGCAGGTGTTTAGTTGCTGAGTCCTCCAGGGATGTGAGCTACGCGTGGGAGCATCTAAGAAGTTTGCCTATTTATTGAGGGCAATATTGTCCTTCTTGAATAAAAGTCCACTTGTCGTCTCTAGAATTTTTGGGATTATTTTAGGCTACACAAATGCCCCCACACTTACTAGGCGGCACACATGAAAAAGGTAATAGGTATAGAAATCCCAAGCTGCTTGGTGGGTGCCAAGGATGCATGAATGGCGTGGCAGGGAGTCCATGGACTGCATGCAGTGCAGCAAGGATGTTGGCTGGCATGGGGAAACCAGCTTGGGTGGGGTCTCTATGGCTGCACCTTGTGAGCTACTGGGCAGGGGGTCGTGCAGCAGAGTGGCAAGGGAGAGAGAGAGTCTGGCTTTGGCCGACTCTTGGTCTTTAATGGTTTGGGTCACGTGACCCGGCCTTGCTTTTTGGGGCGTCTAGCATGCGAAAAGAAAGGGGAGAGGAGGCGTCGTCCTCCCCACATGTTGGGTCGGCTTGCTCCTTGCACATATATATGTGTGTGTGTGTGTGTGTGTGTATATATGCATACATCTTGCTTTTTTTTTCCAAGCTGCCTTCTGAATGTTTTTCCTTTGTGCTTTGTGCAGAAATCTTGAGATGTCTTTTTCTGATCGTAAAAGCGACGAATACGCTCCACCTTTGTACCGTCAAGGTGGGCTACTTCAAGGCTACACACGTCAAGATTAATTCCAATGAACTATTTAGGGATTTTCTTGAGGCATACAAGCATGCATTTCCATCTGGGGTCCACGTCAAGCGGGTGAAGGATGATAGCAGTCGTGAACCATGCAGCGAGGGTGCCTCTGCTAGGAGGAGGGCCATCAAATTCCATCTGTATTACTTTGTGTTGGGATTCACCTTTCCTATGCCGCATCTTTTCCAGGAGGTGATATGCTCCATGAAATGCGTGCCTGCTCAGTGTTCCCCAAATGCAGTTCATGCGATGATGGGGTTTTCAAACTTGAGTAGGTTCTTTGAGCTTGGCTTGACCATTAATGAGTTTTGGTACTTCTTCGAGATCGACCATAAAGAAGGCGTGGGGCAGCTGAAGTCTCACCATAAGCTGCTTGATGCTTTAAGTAAAAGTGTCATGAGTGGGCGAGAGATACCTTGGAAGTGAATGGAGAGTGAGAGTTTGACTTTTCTCTTGAGCTGCATATTCTGACTACCTTTATCAGTGGTAAGTGAACTGTTTCACTCTTGTCCTGCTTGAATTTTTCGTTGAGCTGCTCCATGACTTCAACTTATTGATCGACTTTCTTACTTTTGCGTAGATTCGGAGTTTGGCTCAACCCCCAAGACTTCTGCAGATATGAAAAGAGTACACGACACCCTGGGCATTCTTGCTGAATACCGTGAGTGGCGCTGGCTGCTCAGCCCTCTTTGTCGGAAGAAAGGTGGCCTGCCCCCGTGAGGGAAGAGATAAAACAAATAAAGGACGAGGTGTTGGCTCGCCCGATTGCTGCTGTAGAGCCTACTGCTAATGGTGGTGGAAAGAAAAGGTATTCCTTACCAGCTTGTGAACCTTCTGTTGAGAAGAAGCCAAGGACTTCTTCTGCTGCTCGTGGGAGCTCATCTGCTGCCGATAAACTTATCATTGATCTAACTTCCCCTAAGGAGGTGAAGATGACTGTTGAGCATGAGCCTATGAAACCTACTGCTCTGAAGTTGGCCGTATCCATTGCTGAGAGACTTTCCCAGCGGAAGAGTTTGGTGGTGCCTGCAGTGTCCTGGTTTGTAATGAAGTGTCTGTCGGGAGCTAAGTCTGGTTTTTCTTCTGAGAGGTTCATCGCTATGAAGAGTAGGAATGTGGATTCTCCTGTTAAGATGGCACCTGGATCTACTCCTCATTCTATCGTGACTGACTAGTCTGCTGAGAAGGAAATCTACTCGCACGGGCAGTTGTGAGAGATCCACTGAGTCTGAGGCTGAAGAGTTTCCTAAGGTTTGTGTGCTGATTAAGGCTGACTTACTTGAGGACGTTGATGCATGCGCCAAGTTTGTTGACATTGTTGGGAAAGTTGTCATCCGGTCAGACTCATTTGCGAAGTGTCTCTACTCGAGGAGGTCCTCCCTGATTGCTACAATGCATAAGACTTTGATCCTGGTAGCTAAGTCTATGCACGTTGATCAAGATGCTGTCAAGTGTGCTAAGGAGGTCGAAGTGGTGTTGGTGGCTCAACTTCGTTTGGCTGCTAAAAAGATCGAGAAACTTGAATCTAAACTTAGCTTCATTTTGAAAGGATCTAATGTCTCTACCCCTACTTCTTTGCAGTTGGAGATCGCTCATGAGGAGGCCGCCCATTTGAATGCTAGGCTTAGTGTGATTCAGGCGATGTTGGAAGCTGCAAAAAAGGAAATCAGTCGTGTTTCTCCGATGGTCGAGGACCTTGAGTGTGTCAATTCGGAGCTACAATCTGCTTGTTTTTCCAAGTACGAGAAATTTATCTTCATGCATGCTGAAGTGTCTCGTCTTAAGGAGATTGCCAGTAAGCTTGAGTCCAAGGAAGTGGATCTGCAAGATGCATTGTTTGCTAGCGAGAACCTGAAAAAGAAACTGGATGAGCTGCATGGTGCTCATATTGGGCTTGTTGAGGAGAATGTGCAGCTGAAAAATGAGAAAGTTAGTTTTGAAATGGTGCTTGCTTCTTGTCAAGCAGATTTCTACAAGCTTGGCTATGTAGACCATCTTCAGGGCAGGTCGTCAAATTATGAGTTTTCTGAGAAGGACTTCGAGACTTTTTCCATTTCTTTAGTTAATCTGCTTAATTCCTCGTTTGAGGCTGCCTTTGGTGGAGTAGCTGTGGGTTAGGCAGCATGCAGAGGTGGTTGAGGATGAGTTGATGGAAGCTTTGGCTGCTGGGAGTGGTGTGGCTGCTGAAGGTGTAGCAGTTGAGGAACTAATGGTTGCGCAGGCTGCCAAGGAGTAGTCTTTTTTCTTAGACTTAGGAATTTTTTTTTTCCTTTTTGTTCTACTTTGCTTGAACCTTGTTGGCCTTCGAGCCAGTTTATCAATTTGCTAGGAATTTAATAAACAGTTTTCCTTGTTTTTGCTTCATCCTTCTATTTTGCCATGTCTTTTGTGAAACTTTGCCGTAGGACGGGTGACTAGGTGAGCTGCTTCAATGAAGCAGTTGATCCCACGTTGTCACTTAGGTTTTAGTTTTGGCTTCGGGGCTTTGGGAGCCTTGCCTGCTTGTGGCGTTTTGCAAAACTTTGTCGTAGGACGGGCAATTGAGTTGGCTACTTCGATGGAGTAGTTGACTCACACGGTCACTTTAGGCTTCAGTTTTGGCTTTGGGTCTTCTAGAGCTTTTCCTATAAAAGGAAGAAATACGAGATTTCCAACTTATAGAACCGGCCGCTGAACTCCTTGTCTCCATTTGAGGTAGGCAAGTTCGCGTAGCTACTATAGCTGTGAATCTTGGCTTTAGGTAGCTTCGTGAGCTTTAGCCTTCCCGGGGCATGTTGCGAGATTTTTGAGTTATAGAGTCGTCGGTCGGACTCTTGCTTCTTGCAGAAAGCAGAAGAGGTCTGTGTAGTTGTTATAATCGTGACACTTGACTTTAGTGGCTTCTTGAGCTTCTAGCCCTCCAGGGGCATGTTGTGAGATTTTTGACTGATAGAGTCGTCGGCCGAACTTGTGCCTCTTGTAGGAAGCAGAGAAAGTCCGCGTAGCTGCTATAGTCGTGACACTCGACTTTGTGGCTTTTTGAGCTTGTAGCCCTCCCGGGGCATGTTGTGAGATTTTTAACTTATAGAGCCGTCAATCGGACTTGTGCCTCTCGTAGGAAGCAGAGGAGGTCAGCTTAGCTGCTATAGGCATGTTGTGACACTCGACTTTGTGGCTTTTTAAGACTTGGCCCTGCCGGGGCACGTTGTGAGATTTTTTACTTATAGAGCCATCGGTCGAACTCATGCTTCTCGTAGGAAGCAGATGAGGTTCACGTAGCTGCTATAAGTCGTGACACTTGACTTTGTGGCTTTTTCAGCCTTGGCCCACCTGGGGCATGTTGTGAGATTTTTAACTTATAGAGTCGTCGACCGGACTTGTGCTTCTCGTAGGAAGCACTACTATAACCGTTGGCTGGAAACGCTGCTTATAAGTAAGCAGGCGAGTCCGCATAGTCATGGCAGGTGTAAGTTTTAACTTATGGGCTGCCTTGGGCTTTTAGCCGTCGGGTTGTCGGCCAGACGTCTTACTTACAGAAGCACATGACTCGTGTAACCACTTCAGGCATCATCCTTGGCTTTCGGAGGCGTTTTTTGGCGTGAGCTGCAGGCGAAATCACTCCTCAGATGCCATATCCTTCCGAGTCATAGCTTTGATCCTTCAATTTTGATTTTTGATTTTTTTATCATTTCTCTGATTTATATGTGGGTTTTCATTTCTTTTATCTTCTCCCTCCCTCTGCTCCCTCTCTCGATCCAAATTTGCAAGCGCTAAAATAGGGTTTAGCTTTTGCTGCAATTAAATGAAAAAACATATTACAGGACATGCATAGGACATGCACATGACAGACACATGTTATGCTCACAAATCTTAGCTCAACCCAAAAATCCATAGCTCACAACTCTCTCTTTGAAATCAGAAATATGACACAATCAGATAAATGACCCTAAATTTTATATGAAGAATTGAAGATTCATTAATTTGAATTTGGTATCAAATTTGATTGGGTTTAAATATTTCAAGGATTTGAAAAAATTGCAGTTTGAATGGGCATGAATGAACCCAACTGAAACAAAGGAAATTGTTTCACAAACTTGTTCGTTTTTTTCGTATTTGCAGGGTCTGCCCCTGAATCAAAGGAAAAAGTAGTAAACGTTAATGCGAAGAGTATCAAAGATGTAAATACGCACCATCTACACATAATACACTATATGCACACCACATGCACATAATATGTACAGTACATGCACATGATATGCACAAAATGAGAGAAACTTTAATAGCAACATATTGGTATGGTGGATACAATTAAAACAAAATTGTTATGTATATAAGGTTATAGTGACAGTTTGAAAGGTCTTGTTGCGTATATCAACCACTGCTTAACCTTTCACAGACATGCATGACCCTTAATGTTCTCTAAGTTTTATCTTAATTTTGTTTTTCGCCGAGGCCAACTAGGTTGTGGTCATACTTGCTAAATTCTGAGGCACAACATACATGCATCATAACTAGTGAACATTTCTGCTTCTCATATTAAGATGTAGTCATGCACACCATATGCACACCACATGCACATTACTGAAAATTTTCACAAATTTCTGCAATTGAACACTTAAACAATAAATTGTTCCATCCTAATCTCATAGCACATCAAAACTTGAAATCTATTCCACCATACGTCCCAACATGAAACACAAACCTTAAGTATTAATTCATCTTACAAACAATCCATTTATTCCGTAAATCATTGATGAAGGAATTTGGAACTAAACACCCTACTTACTATGCATGTCGAAGCTTCAATCGCAAGAAAAAATGGAACTTTTCGGCCAAAACAGAAAATATGGTACAAAATCTAACTCACTTTTCTCACCTCTCTCTCTCTCTCTCTCTCTCTCTCTCTCTCTCTCTATTCTCTTGCATCCCTTTGTTCGAAATCAGAGGTATAAGGTGAACCTAAGGCCCAGCTCACTCTTCTTGCCTCTCTTTTGGACTTCCATCTCCTCAAAATTGGAGCTCAGAGATCTGAGGAAGGGAGAGATAGTAGAAAGAGAAAGTGAGAAAAGAAAGAAAGGAAGGGAGAGAGAGTAGAGGGAGAAATCATAAAATGAGGGAGAGAAAGTGAGGAATAACCCATTTATATGTGAGTATTTTAGTAATTTTGGTTTTGTGCATGGTGTGCATGGCTGATTTGTCATATTTCTATCACAAGATTAAGAAATTGTCTCATTTTGGGGTATTTCCCTTTATTATAACATGATAATAATATTTAAACAAATGATATTCATTAGTATGAACATATAACTGATGTAGTGCATGGGGAACAAATTAATTTAAGGCTTTAGTGACTTCTCATCTCTCAAAACCTTTGTGACCTTCTCTTTTAATTGAATTGCCTAGTAACTATCCTACTCTTAAATGTTTAGTATACCAATGCTTTATAATTTCCCTATTTAAAGGGCTCCATATGTATCCTTAAAGTAGTCAATTAGAGAATTCAAAAGTTAATCTAAGAAGAGAGTGAGTTTTCTCCTTCCTTAAAATCAAGTGTGAGACTTAGTCGTGTCGAGTGAATCGACGATTAGCAACGTGAGTGATTCCTTTGCCCCTGGTCGAGTGATTTCTAGGTTCTATCCCCGTAGCGACGTCGTGTGATTCCATTGGCCCCTGGTCAAGTGATTCCCAGGTTATCTCCCTCAGTTCCCTTGGTTCCATCCTGCATCAATAACATATTAGATTATCCAGTAAACAAATATATAAACATTTCATCGATATATGGCTCAAAATCGGTAATTGATTAGGTTACTTAACCTGAGTAGTACACTTTGGACAATTCTCTAGATTCAGAGGACGATGAAGAAATGAAAGTAACTTCTAAATATACTATAATTAAGAAAATCTTCTTTGTCAACCAAAGATTGAAAACAACATGATTATTTCACTCCTTTTAACTCTTTGTGAACCACAGAGAAGGAAATGTATTAAACGAGAATCAATAAATAAATAAAAAAGAAAAAGTATATAAAGTGAAAATAGAAGTGCTGAAATCATTTTCTTTTGAATTTAATAAATTGAATAATAACTTAACTAACAAAGGATCATACATATGATTTCACTAGCTTACCATCTCTCTCCCACCTCCTATTTTTTTTCTATTATAAATTCTCTTGCATATATAATTTCCACCATCACATGAATAACAAGAGTAGAAAGCTATTGGTAGCGTGAAGAAAACATATCTCTCTTTCAATACTACTATTTTGTGAGAACATGAAATGAAAAGTTTCTTTCATAATTAATTATTCTACTTTCAACTTTTACAAAATTCAGACATCAACCATCATTTCTTCCTTCAATTCTCTAATTAAATATAATCCTAGGCACCAAACCAGGCTCGCCTTTGTTTCAAACTGGCTAGAGTTTGTTTCCTCCACTCCAAATCCAGATTAAAGATATATAGTCCTACTAATCAATTGAAGTACACAACCCCTTCCCCATTTGGTTGATATCTCCCATTCCCATTTGTAATGTCGCTGGTGATAGCATGGACTGCCACCAAAATCCATTGATATTTTGTTAGAACACGCCACGCAAGTTGTTTCTCATAAAAAATGTGGTCCAACAGACGGCTTAATTCTTCGGCTTCTAATTTGGGAAAAGACACCCCACATATACTGTTTGGTAATATTCATGATTTGTAATCTCTACTTAATTATGATCAAGATTTAGAAAAAACTAACATGTTCATATTTGCTTTATGTGATGGAGAAAAATAAGGCAAATAATGAAGGGAAGCCGTCTTGTCCATGTGTGGCTATTAGAAGGAGAAATCTTGTCCATAGGAACTGCTTTTACTTGCACAGGAAGCTAACTTTTGGCTGATTTTTGTAGAGTTGGGTCTACTTTACTAATGTCCTGGTGGGAAAAATCTTGTACATAACCAGTTATTTCTCACATTCTTTTTATCTTACATGTCATTTACTTGGTATCCCCAGCATCATTGTTCTAAAATCCCCGCTTAGACACTAGTTAGTTGGTCACCACCCCAGTTAGTCCCTAGGTGTTCGAAAATTAAGAGAGTGCGTCTAAACCCGCTCAGGAGTCCATCTAGCCCACCTAAACCCGCCAGGTCACGATTCTCACTTAGATAGAAAATTGATAACTTTCATTTTGCACTTTAATTTTTTTTCCATGTTTTCAACATGTTCTAATACTTTATAACTTATATGTCATTTTGTTTTGCAATTTATATATCTCAATACAATTATGTATGTTTTTCAAGTATAAATGGACACTTATTTATACAATATATAATAAATTTACTTAAATTCGCCTAATCCGCCTAGGCGTTAGACCCTAACTCACCGTCTGACTAGCGTCTAGCATCTTTTAAAACCTTCCCCAATGCTAAATTGGTAAGATCTTGTATGTCGTGATTTTGACTTGATCAAGTGACAGGAGAGATAAAGAGAAAATGGGATACATTACGGGTTACATGGTAATTCTCTGTTCCCGAGGTTGGTTCACATTCTATATATATGCCCGGCCTCTTCAGTGTTTAGTCCACATCCTTTATAAATATAAAAGGATACAAGATGCTTTCCCTAGTTTCAGGAAATCACATCCATCAAGGAAGTTGCAAGAGATCAAATTAGGAAATTCATCAGTTCTATTTCTCCTCATATAATAAATGAATTATTTAACACAAATGCCATACGTCATTAGGAAGTAAATACGAACCAAATTCAAAAATTTGTCTTCTAAATGAGCAAAATTGCTGCTCAAGAATGGAAATTCGCTAACTTACCATGCAAGGGAAGAGTGCACTTGAAACTTGAAAGAGTAGGGAGGACAGTTGATTTCTCTTCCCTCCTACCTACATACCGCATAAGCTCATTAGCCCAGAAAAAAAGAGCAACATTTGAGAGCGGCAAAACCCAAATAATCATGTCGAGTTGAAAGAATCTTGAAGCAAAACCCTAATTAGGGTATGGCAAAGGATGCTTGAGATGGGGGAGAAGTGAAGGCAGAAGAAGTTACTAAAACTAGGCATCATAAGTGCAGATGTTTTCAAATCCCATGTACTCTTTATGCTTAATCTTTTCAATCATATCTACTATTCCAACTCCACCTGTGAAATTAAAAGCAAATTAAGCACCCATTTATCACCAAGTGGAATATAAAAAGACAGAATCGAGTTCACGGGCAGTAATACATACCTAGTGATATTGCACTCACAAAGATTGTGAAGGCAAGAATGAAGATAATTATAGATGCTCTCCCCAAAAAACTGACTACCTTTCTCACTACATATTGCCCTACTAGGGCTGAAAATGTGGCCACAGCAGTAAAGTAGAGAGCTGCAAGAGAAATTTTTAAGCCAACATCAAATTATTGAAAAATAAATGAACAAATTTCCTCTCCCTACCATTCAATTTGTTTTTCAATTGGCAGAAACTTGGATGGCTAAGACGATTACCATAAGGAATCGGGAATCGTTTTAGGAGGTAGTACTCTACAACAGACAGGGAGGCAGAAAATGTCATGGCAAATGTGGCTGTCGCACTTGAGACCTGCATCAAAGTTCTCAATCAATGAGCCAGTTTTGACTAGGGAAAGTGAAAGATGTGCTGCTGTATATAAAATTCGTAGCTGTTTTAAGTGAGGTTTTCGCACTTCTCGTTGTGTTTTACGGTTAAAACTGATCTCAATGATCTTCCCTCTATAATAATATGTATTTCAAGTTTTTGAATTGAACCGGAATCAGTAAATTCAGTAAATGTGAAATCAACTACTCCACAAGTATAAAATTCACCTGAGGTGGGATTCCTAGCTCCAGAAAAACAGGACCTAAAATGAAGCCTCCACCAAGACCAAGCAATCCACCAACTATACCGGCTATGATACCACAGGCACTACAAAGAACAAGCTGGTTTACTGTCCAATTTGTGTTTAATTCTGCCCGGGACGCAATCACTCTATCTCCTTTGTACAGTTTAACTGCCTCGAATATAGTTACTCCGAAAGCCACGGGGATCTAAGAATTCATTTGAGGAAAAAATAATGCCAAACAAATATGATGGTTTTGAACAAAAAAAAAAAAGCAAAAAAAAAATCATTACTTCAAGCACAAATGAGCATAGTATTTGAAGCACGAAAAAAATGGAAAACTTATGTTTTCTTCTAATTATAAGGGACATGAAAGGTAGGCACCTGCAAGAGATTATATGCCCAATATGCTGCCGAACAAGTTGTTGTATAATTCTGTGCCAACAGACAAGTTCCCGAAAAATCAGATTCAATGCATAAAATAGAATCGAAGGGAAGTACAAATCGTGATCTTGTAACGAAATCCATCCACATTGTAGGTATTACCTTAGCGATCTGCAATGCAAGAATTATAATCCAGACAGCAAAAAGAATCAGAAGTTCCTTCCAGTAAAGATTCTCAAAGATAGAAACCTGAGAAGGTTAAAGAATGTCAGTCTCTAAAACCATGCATCAAGGAAATCTCAGGCTGCAAGGAATCCTACCTCTGTTCTTTTGGATTCCCCGGTTTCTGTTGGAGTGCCATTGCTCGGGCCACTGGGTAGAGGCTTGTAATAAACTTCTGCAGTAGCATCATCACCTGCATAAAAAAATTTCCGGCATCTAAATTTGAATTGGTGTAAGGCTAATGCTAACAAAGAAAAATATGATAGATCAACTTACCATTTGACTGCATCCGTCTAGCAGCCTCCTGAAAATTCGAAAACTAGTTGAGCCAAGATGCAGGGATGAATTAAATTATGTCTCATATATACAAATTGAACTAACAAAATTAAGATGACCTTTTTTACTATAGTTTCTTTTTTCCATGTCTCAATGCCCTTGAAGAATGCCCTACTTGATGTGGCTGCATGTCATCAAAATCTGATCACTATACGAATTGAAGAAGTTGTCCAGTTGGTGAAACTAATGAATTCATAATTTCCTATAATTCTTACCTAAGAAAGTAATGATTAATAACACTGTGATCATCCAGTTAGCAAATATGACATTGAAAGCAACTCCAATACTGATCCCAAGCACAAGCATTGGTTGGAAAAGAAGTGCCAAGTCGTAGTCGATGAGGGGGAGGTCAGCTGTCGGATGCCTTAGCCTTAGATTGTAGAACACAGATGAAATTGCAGCACCTGTGATCATACCTGACCAACCACACAAGCACTCGAAATTGTATTCAGTTACATTCGAAAGGAAAAGGTCGATAACTTTCATATCCACCAAGTTTATGGATTAGAAGTGCATAAGAAAATTCCACACACGTCATTTGGTAAAACGAAACATTAATGAATCTAATTGAAATTATAAGATCGGTGTTGACATTGCTGACTCATTCGAAACATTTGAAGCTTTTGTTGTCTAATGGTTGTCGCTACCATGGTATTAAAGAACCAACATGTTTCTATTCGTCATCAATTCTCACATGTAGAATGGGGCTGCACGTCAAAGAGTGTTAACTTGATATACATTGTTGACTAACGAATTTCCTAGCAACTTAACTTGAGTCATACTAGGACCAAAAAAAAAAAAATGAGGGATAATAGATTTGGTTTCACTATTGCTTGAACATTCTATTAGTATAAAACTAAATTTCTATATTTAGAAAAAAATATTCTTATAAGAAATGCACAATTAGATTTTGGGAGTGACAATAATAGTTTCTTAGGTGATAAATTGTGCAAGGTATGAGGAAAATGCGGCAGGTGAAAACTCAAAAGGAAAGAAAAATTATGAGAAAGTTGTAAGGCCTTACACTTTGATATAGCTGTTGATGATTTCTGGTCAAATCCAATAATCAAAGTGAGCATGGGAACAAAAATGCCACCCCCACCAACTCCACCAACAGTTCCAAAAGCAGACCCTAGAAATCCAATTATTGTACCCACCACAATTTTCCACCCAATGGTCATTTCCTGTATATCCAATTTCACCCCACATTAAGCCAAATTTTGAACAATTACTGCCCCTCAGAGGGTGTTAAAAAAAAAAAAAAAAAAAAAAAAAAAACAAAAAGAAGAAGAAGAAGAGGTTTTTCACATATAAGTCCTTGATAACTCACACTTTAGACATAAACACTTCAAAGTTCAAAATCAATATTTTAGAGAAAACCTCATTTACTTTGTCGAATCTCCAAGAATTTAATTTATAACTGAATTTTAATTAAAGCGTGACAACTTGATAGAAAAACGAGATTTTTCGTTTCTCCAGGTGAGAAAGTGCATCACATTGTCTTGTCATTTTGTGAGATCATGGAGTCCAAATCCCCATATTATAATTTTAGATCAAAATATGCAAGAAAATAATGCGGAGCAAAGATGCAGATAATAAACATGGACACGATCAATCATGTAAAGAAACGAGAAAAACATGTCGTTTATTATATGCAGACGATGTTGACTTTTTTTTATTTAAGAGAATGACATTTTTTATTCATGAAAGGGCAAAATATATGATTCAATACCAGAAGAACATGACTTTAATAGGAGGGTTTGCAAACAAAAATCTGAAAACTACACTAACAATAATTCCAGATGTAACAAAAAACTGAAAAAGAGGATATTTAGGAACCAATAACCTGGTGCTACAAGTTCACACGAGAGATGAAAGCTCTTTAACCAATTATGGGATCGTAAAATATCATGATTTCATCTGGACTATATATGCATAGAAAGATATAGCGACTCCAAATTATCTTATAATCCCAAAGCTAGCATTGTTTAACAGTAGATCGACCACAAGCAGGTCACCTCCGATACTTTGGTGAACCACCAGATCGACCACACAACGAGGAAACTAGCCTATAATGAAATCATCAAACTCAGATATGACGAGCTAGAGACAACTCATACTAAGTTTTAGGAATTATTACAAACATTGGACTTGAATAACAACAATGCACTTCTAAACCCTCCTAATATTTTAAAATGTGCCAATTAGCACCGCCCAACCAATGTCTATCACAAAAAGGAGAGGAAAAAAAAAAAAAAAGGAGGTGAATCTCACTAAGAAAAACTAAAGCTCATATCATCATGTTTTGCCAAAGCGTTCACTACCTGATTACCCTTAAATAGAGCAAATTTATCACTTGTTTTTTTCTATATATAAAGTGAGAGCAACAAAATGGTGAAACATTTGAAATATAAAAAAAAAATACCACCACTTTTTAGAAATTGAAAACATTACCATTTAATTGATGAAGGACAAGATAGTAAATTTGTAATATCCCACATCATCCAGGGGAGTAGATCCTGTAAACTTTATATATATATTCTCATCTCTACATAGCACGAAGCTTTTTGAGAGCTCACTGTCTTCGGATTCCATAGGAACTCTGAAGTTAAGCGAATTCGCGCGAGAGCAATTCTAGGATGGGTGACCCACTGAGAAGTTTTCATGTGAGTTCCCAAAAATAATAGCGTGAGGGTGTGGTCGGGGCCCAAAGCGGATAATATCATGCTATAGGAGAGTCAAAACCTCCAGGCCAGGATGTGACAAAATTCATAACATTTTGAATGAACTTAAAATTTAATTTAATTTAAAAAAAAAACCCATGTAGTTTAATATAAATCAAAAAACAAATTAACATAAAAAGGCCAATTTTCAAGAGGCTAGTGTTAATTAATTTACCAAATTGTTATACATTTATCATATTTTATGTTAATTACTTTTTGCTCAGTGGACTAAAATAGCATTGGACTTAATTTTTTATGCTGATGTCAATAATGTTTTAACAAAATTTTGATGGAGAGGTTAATGATGAAAAAGATTAAAACCTTTTTTAGGTAATTTTTTTGTCGTAATCGGATTTGTTAAATTCAATATAATTGGGATTGATTTTGGTTTATACAACAACATATTTACATTGAAAGGTGAAGAAATATATTGGGATCGAACTCATCATTTAACGAAATTCGTGCTTAAAACCTCTCAGTTACAAATGAATAACAATACCACTAAACTGTATGCAGTTAAGTGGATTCTGGTCATAAATGGGTTGCTTGAACTCAAAGTGTTATCCATATCCTGTCTAAACAATACACATTAAATCGGATTCTGGTTAAAATCCAATCCATTGGCACTCCTATTGGAATCTTACCCTATTTCTCGATAAACATTTTCTACGAAGTTTGTGCTAACTTGAAAAGCCATATTTGTGTGTTGGGGTTGAATGTTGTAAATAGTGTTTTACAGTTTGAGGAAAGCTTGCATTAAAACATTGCATGTCTTCCGATAGCCTTTTTAGGTCTCTAAGAGTATAAAAGCCACCATATGTTTTAAAAAAAAACATATCTTCGAATTTTGAAACAAAAGCTCCCTAGGCTCATTTCTCAGAGCCCAAAACATTTTTTTATATGAAAAAATAAATTACAAAATATAGTTTGAAAAATCACCAGAAAACAAGGGAGTAGCAGAAGAAAAAGAGAATAAGGGAATGAAATGTGAGACTTACAGGCCAAACATGCTCATAACTGAATAACCGACCCAGTTGCCACAAAAAGTTTAACATTCTGGTCTGAAATTTGTGAGACTGAAACGTTTGGCTCCCGTTAATGTAAATGGAAGCATGCTGATGCTCTTGTTCCAAGGTTTCTTGTGGAGCTGAAGAAGCTGCAGTTACTGAAGTTACAACAAGAAAACCAGTCACAGTGAATATAACCCACCATTCTAATCCACCTTCTGCTGCTGCCATGGATAAAGAGATAGCTACCCCCAAGAAGTTCAAACTCGCTGAAACAAAACCTCTTGGATCGATCGAGCGATTTAAAAATCTGAAAAACTAGAAGATACCAAGTGATAATCGATGCATGCATACATATGTACATATATGTATTTATATGATATTATCACCGACACAAACAATTATTATCATAAGTGACAGAGAAACTGGAGTGATGAGGAGTTAAACGACAAATGAACTTCATTATACGTACGTATGTAGTCACTACTTTTTATTATTTTTTTAATGGAAATGATAATTCATACAAGGGTCCGTCTCCTTCTCAATTAATCATTGTACTATTTGATCTCAGTGAACGACTAAATACAAGCCACAAAATTCTGTGTTTCGACATCCACATGTTTACTTGGTGAACGTAATGCACGTTGCTTTTATTAGGTGGAAATACCATTGATTGCGGAAAGGAACGCACTTCCGATTCATTCCACCAAATTCATCAAATTCATATTTGTATTTTTAAAATTTAATTCAACGGTTAAAAATAAGGACTCCTTTAAAACTTATTATAATTTTAACCGTTTGATCAAATTCAAGAGCCCAAATTTGTAGATTTGATGAATTTGGTGGAATAAATCTAGAGATAATCCTTTTCTACTTATTGCTATCCCTAATTCATGAGTGGCAGCCATCTTATGTGTGTTTTTCTGATTTTTTTAAGAAAGTCTAGAGGTGTTTAAGAAAGGGAACTTTAAATAAAAGTTATCGGTATTGTTCACTTTAATGAAAAACTATATTTTTAAACTAAAAAGTCAATCCTAGTACTATTCATTTTACCCTTTATTTTGTCTTTATCATTAAAACTCAATTTTCAACTCATTTTCATTAGTTTTCCTTTTAAGAAAATGGTTTTTGAACTTTAATCCTTTAAGAGGGTTAAAATTTAATAAAAATTTAGTGTTAGATTATATATTGATTTTAGTCTCTTAATGTGTATTTAATTCAAATTCATACATATTTTTGTTTTGATATTTAATAGATATCTTATTTAATATCATTACATTAACTTTTAAATTTATGATTTTACACATTTTAATTCATTAATTTTATTTAACTTCCTGTAATTAGTGTACCTCAACGTCTGTATCATAATATATTTTACTAAATTAGTATACCAAAATATCTGTACCTAAATATTGTAGTGAACTAGTGGCACATAAAAATATGCAAAAACATAAGTGTATCGAAAATTCCGTAATACTAAACTAGTGTACCAAAATGACGGTACCTAAATATATTATGCTAAGCTAGTGTACCGAAATGTCCGTACATTAACATATTATACTAACCTTATGTAAACTAGTCATAATAATATTTGATATATATGGTTTGTTCTAATTTAGTTAGAACTTCATATATTTTTTGTCAGGTAGGTTTAGCCTCACAATGAAATAACAATAATGTGGTGGAGGTGGGGTTAGCCTCATAATAGACTAGTAATAATACGGTTCAAATTCGTCTTTCGCGAGAATCGAACCTAAAACTTCTCACTTACAAATAAAGACGAATTGTGACATCCCACATCACCTAGGGGAGTGATCCTTATATGTATATTATCATCCCTACCTAACACAAAGCTTTTGGATGCTCATTGGTTTCGTGTTCCATAGGAACTCCGAAGTTAAGCTTGTAGAGCGCAAGAGCATTCCCAGGATGGATGACCCACTAGGAAGTTGCTCGTGTGAGTTCCCAAAAGCAAAACCGTGAGGGCGTGGTTGGGGCCCAAAGCGGACAATATCGTGCTACGGTGGTGGAGCGGGCTCAGGAGGTTGTTCCCCCGGGCCAGGATGTGACACGAATACCATTAGATTAATGTATTAAGTGACTTGCCCTTTTAAACTCTTTATTTTGAATAGAAGTTCTCACATTGTAAGTAAAAAGGACCCATTTTTGTTACAAGCTCAAGAATCAATACACACAAAATTTTAATTAGTTTAGCAAACAAAGCTTCAATTGGCCTAAAGTTCAAAGATCTTTACTCTAATTTTCTCATACAGGTAAAATCAATATTATACTAATGATAAAATACCCCTAGCTCGTACTATCGAAGTTTTCTTAAAATGTACAGGTAAAATCAATATTATACTAATGATAAGATCTTTACTCCATAATTCATGAGTGGCCGCCATCTCATGTGTGTTTTTCTCATTTTTTAAGAAAGTCTGGAGGTGTTTAAGAAAATCCATTTTTTTTTTGGAGTGTTTAATGTGTTTAGGAAAGTTGATACACAAAATAAGGAAAAAGCAACAGATCTACTTTATGTAAGTACAAACAAAATAGACTCAGATAAGATTTAACCTTGTCGGGCAAGATTCAACTTCTTGCAACCTCTTCTCTTCATGTTTATAGGGGTTTGTAGACTTTGGGAAACAAAATGCAAATAGGATTTACTTTAGGGAATCGATACTACAACACTAGAGGAAGATTGCAGAGCTTCTAAACTTGACAAAAGATGGCTTTTTATGGGGGGGACCTACAACTAAAAGGGGCAGAGTCTGGACAAAATGCAGCTTTTTGGATATGAACTTGTCTGAGAGCAAAGTTTGGATGTCATTTGATTGATTGATTGAGTGTCCTTATCATCAGTGTCCCTTTCTGTTTTATAGACAATTTAGCCCGACTGTTCAAGCTTCGCCTTTTGCCCATGGCTTTTGAATGGTGGTGGGTCATCACTTATTTACTCATCCATGCCCTTGAAAAGTGCTTTTTGCTAGGGTGAGCTACCCTCTGTCGCCGATCACCTCTTACATAGGCATATGGCCTATGCCTTGCTGAAATAGTTTTTAAACTCTTCTTGGGCTATTGGCTTGCCCGAGCCCAGTCTTTCCTTTTGCTTTTGCATTCTTGGGGCTTCATCATCATAAAGCCTAGTGTTAGCTATTAACCTAAACACAACCCAAAGCAAGTAAAACGATTGGCAACCTCATTTACATCAAGAGCTTTAGAATTTGTTTGGATGTGCTTTTAAAATGATTGAAAGCGCTTTTGGTGAAAATATTTCTAAAACTAATATTTAGTCAAAATGTAAGTAAATCCTAGAAAAGCACTTAAAGTGCTTCCTAGAAGAAGCACATAACTGGTGCTTTTTACAGAAAGCACTTCAAGTGCTTTTGGAACCCAAAAACATTTTTGTAAAAGCACTTTCAGTTATTTTAAATGCACATCCAAATAAGCCCTTAGAGTCTTCTATTAACACACCCACCACTAATTTATCTACCCTAAATTCTTAAAAACTTGTTAAATTACTTAAAAATTAGAAAGGCATAACTAATACTTTAGGAAAAATAGTTGACAATTCCTCTATGTATTAGATATTGGTACCCAAAAAAAAATGCATCTTAAAACTTTACCAAATGGTCAACATTCGCTTCTTTCACACAGAAAGGGAGATGGCGGACTAGGATTAATTTGTTTCACTTGCAGTACTGTTCACCTTTAGAGGCAGTTGTTTTTTTAATGATTATAGTGCTAGTTTTATAGAACCCTCAATAATCAATTTTGCTGCTGTTTTTTTTTTTCTCTAATGGAATACTAAAATAATGTAGCGTGACCAAAACTGCAATGCAACATGACCAAAACTGGATTCTGTCACTAGTAAAAAAACTCCTTTTGTGACGAAACACAAGTCATCGCATATAGCCACTTTGCGCGACGAAACAAACATTATCACTCAAAGTCACTTTGTGCAAAAAAATTTTAAAATTCGTCGTGCAAAGTCTTTACAAAAATAAAATAAAAAAAATTATTTTTTAAAAACCTTTGCGCAACGAAATCCAATTATTTTGTCGCCTAAACCAATTTATTTTCTTTTTTATTTAATTTTATATTATAACTTTTAAAATATAGTTATTTTCATAAGTTTTTATTATTTTTTAAAAACTTTGCGCGATGAATATCAATATTTCGTCACCTAAGCCCAATTTATTTGTTTTTTATTTAATTTTAAGTTAAACTAAATTATTTTCTTTGCGCGACGAATCAACATTTGGTCCCATAAACCCTATTTATTTTAATTTATATACATTTTAAATTGGAAAATAAAATTATTTTCTTTTTTATTATTTATAAAAAAAATTATATTTTGCTCGACGAATATATATTTCGTTGCGCAAAATCCTTATATTTGGGCAGGCACCAAAAATGGGATGCAGGAATTTTTTTTATTTTTTTTTTAAATACTTTGAGCAACCAAAACTTCGTCGCGCAAAACCCTAAAAATTTGGGCAGGCGCCAAAAATGGGACATGGGAATTTTTTTTTTAATTTTTTTTAAGACTTTCCGCGACCAATATTTCATCGCGCAAACTCATATCCTTCGTTGCACAAAGTGATACAGTTTTTAAAACCAAAATAACTCCTCCACAATTTTCTCAATGTCTTTCTTTATTCTTTTACCTCTCATCTCCTTCCCTCTCCTCAAATCTGACCCTCTCTCTCACTCACTCCTCTCACTTTATATGTCTTCTCTCTCTTCTCTATCTCTCACTCTCACTCTAACTCACTCACTCACTCTCTCATCTCTCTCTCACTATCTCCTCTAACTCTCTCACTTTCACTCCTCTCTCTCTCTCTCTCTCTCTCTCATTCTCACTCACTCTCAATCTCGCCAAAAGATATTATATGCCCAAATTTTAATTTTTTTTCATTAATATGTGTTTTTGGAGTTAATTAATTGGGTTTGGTGTGGGGTGGAGTTTGGGGTATGCCAATTTTAGGGGAGATTATGCTGATTTTTTGGTATTATTTTATGTTGTTTTTTGGTTATTTGACCATGTTTGTTTTGTTTGTAGGGAATTGTCAAGATTTTGTACTCGTTTGGATGTGTTTTTAAAATGACTGAAAGCATTTTTAGAGAAAATGTTTTTGGGTTCTAAAGAAGCATCAGTTATGTGCTTCTTCTGGGAAGCACTTTAAGTGCTTTTCCATGATTTACTAACTTTTTTAGTAAGGATTGTTTCTAAAAATATTTTCTCCAAAGCATTTTTAGTCATTTTAAATTCACCTCCAAACAAGCTCTTTGATGGTGAAAGTTGAGGATTAGGATGCTATCGGACCATATCCTCCGCCACTACCACCACATTAGACTTGTATTAGGATTTTATGACTGTACTTTGTTAATTTATGTGTACAATTTTAGTATAATATATATTATGGATAATTTGATCACTATTTTTCATATGTAATTTTATTTTGAATATGTCAATTTAAATTAAAGTAATTAA